ATTTATAAAATAAATTTTATGAATATCATTATTTTATTTCAAAAATATACAGAGTATAACATGGATAAAATATGTGCTCTGTAAATTAATATATATACATATATATATGTTTCACCGGTCATTCTATTTTTATGCGTACACACATATATATAGTAATTATTTCCTTTTGTAATATATATTTATATATATTAAACTTATAAAACTATTATAAATTATATCTTAGAATTATTCTACATCTAAAAGTCTAATAATCTATCAGGAATAATTGCTAATTATATATATGATTTATATTATACATACTTGGTGCTTATGTACTAGAAATTTTATAAGTAATATAATCATTTTTTTACTACCTAATTAATGAATGAATCACTTTTCAATTCATTCTATAATCGTAGTTCATACATCATTTGCTACGTATAAAAGCATATATAACCATATTTCTTACTTAGAAATATGTATATAATAGACAGATTAATTATATGCAGTATTCCTAAGTAAAGCTTTCTATTTTATTAACAAAGCTACACATAATATTTTCATAATTAAAATGCATAAATTCATAAATAAAATATGAAGTAGTATATTTTTCATCTTTTCAATATTAAGGGAATTTAATAAATTAATCGCTTCAGATAAATTAATATAAAATAATATTTAAATCATTTTCTTCAAAAATATAGTATTTTTTAATTTACTAGACTATACTCTACAATGAATATAAATAGATACATTATTGTAGTTATTATTTAAAAAAGACATTATAATGTATTATTCAGCACATATATACACTTTTTTTAGTGTTGATAATATATGTAAAAAGTTATTGTTGTTTAATGTAAAATGAATATACATATAATCATTCAGCCCAAACGTTCCCATTTATTTTCGTGAGTATAGTAAATATAATTAGATGTCTTCTTGAAAAATTAAAAATATCTTTAGTTTTATATATTTCGATATTCAACATTAATATCTGTTAAATATAAAATATTTTTATATTACACACAATTTATACATTTTAAAATGAATTCAAATTTTTAATTAATTATTATCCCTTTTATTGAGAATTATTAAATAAATTCCTAAAATTAATTACATAAATAAAAACAAATTATGTAAAATACGACTATAATTCATAATATAAATAGAAATATGTTTTTGTATTGCTCAATATATATAAGAAATATGTTTTTAACAAGTTCCAATTCACGATAAGATATATTTAAGGTAGGCTATTTATGAAGGTATGTACTACCTATAAATGAAACAAAAATTTTTTTTTTAATTGATTCATTAATTTTTCATGTTCATGATACGAATGTGTTATTCCATATATATATAATAATTTTTAAATAATGATAAACACATATAAGCACTATTTTTTCACAAAATATATAATATATAGAATCACAGTTCTAACTTAATATTTTTTATTAATAATATTTACATATAATGCAATAGCATTTATTGTTATTAAATTGATAGTTATATATATAGATAATATATAGAAAATATATTGATTTATGAAGGAATTATCAATATAAAAAAATATATGTATTATCATTATTAGTGGTTTCAAAAATTGGAAATAAAAAGAAAACAATTAAAATTCAGATTTTCTAAAGAATAAAAAAATAATATATATAAATATAATAATGAAATGAATTATGAAAATCATAATGAAAAAATATATCTCACAATATATAATATAGAATATAATACATACATAAATACATATGAATAACAATTATAAAAAAAAGAGTAATGATAAAAAAATATAATGTAAACATAGCTAAAAATTAAGCACTAATACAATATACCCAACATTCTTATCCCTAAACCTAAGCCTGTCCAAAAATAAATGATTTTTTAATATAAATCTTTATTCTTTTAAATTATTGTAAATTTAAAATAAATGAATGAATTCCAAAAAATGTAAATGTTAAAAATACATAATATATAACTTATTTTATCACTATTCCTATTATTCTAATAAAATGTTCTTCTATAATTATTAACTGTTCATAATGAACATATAATTTATATATATGATGATATATGTTCGTATTAACGATTATCATTTATTCTTCGCTTCTATTACATATTAATTGTTTTGTTGAATATAAATATATATATATACTAAATATCAAAATTCTACATATATCATCTATTTTTATATTATTAATAATAATAAGAGTATGTAAATGAATGAAAGTAAACATATACATTCTTATTACAATAAACCGTGTGCTATATAAAATGAACAATTTTAATTTATATATAGTTTTACATGTAAGTCCATATAAAACGAGTTACATTATTTTGAATTTATATTATATTACACAATATATTCTTAAATATATATATATGTTCATAGGTATGACAAATATTTACATTTTATAATGATAGACTTTTTAAAGCAATATTGTATCAAATCATTCATATATAATCAGTGTAATATCTAGATATAATTTATAATTATTACTGCACTTGGTTATTATTTGATAATTTTTTTTTATAAGAGCACTGTTATTTCTAAACACGAAAGTATATAAACAAAATAATAATTTCTATTAATTATATAATTCAATTTAAATTCTGATTATCATGTTTCATGTTTATATTACAAAGGTTAATTTTATATTGTAAAAATAATATAATTATAAATTTGTATTAGTATTCTTAACTTTATCTTAATGTGTATGTTAGCATTAATTCCAAACCATATAATTATTTATGATTTTTATTTTTATTAAAAATTCTCACAATTATTATATTACAATATATAAATATGCCTCAGGATATAACAGGTGTATGTTATAATTATTTTAACACTCATTAATTACAACTTATTAATATATAGATTAATATAATACTATTTATTTTATATAAAAAAAATACTTCAACATTAATACTAATATATTTCTTTCCTTTTTTATTTTTTTAATAAACATTAGATTATTTTCCCAGGAGAATCCCCTTCCAAAAAATTTTTTGATACCCTGAATAATGGTGTTTCCACAGTAATTAATGATCCTGTGTACTGCACAACTATTAAATATAGTAATTCGCTCTTGCAGGGAATTTGTTCAAGACTAATAAACTATTTAAAATTACATAATAATAATTTAAGTAATAGTTATTATAAGAATATATATTGCAACCTATTAAGTTCCTGGATATATAATCAATTAAAAAGCTATTGTACTAATCCCTCATGTGTCGTTGATGATGTTTATAATAAAATTCAGGACATATTTACGGTACAATATTCACTTATAAACCTTAATAAAGATAATTTTAAATGTCAATTTGATCCTATTTCTATTCTGAAGGATGATCATGAAGAAAGAATAAAATTATACGATTATTACTTACAATATGACACAATAAAGTCTAATTTTGTAAAAGAAAATGACAATAGCAATATATATTGCTCATATTTTAAACATATAGATTCTCTATGTAAACTCCCTCATAAGGACTGTTTAACTGATGATACAAATAACTGCTCAAAAATTCATAATATATGCATACGTTATAATCCGGATATCTTTTTAAATGATGAAAAATGTCAAGAAGTGAAAATTCAACAATCTTTACATCAAAAAGAGGATCATAATGAACAAGGAGTGTCCTTCCCTGTTATTGCTACAGCTATGGATGAAGACATACCCAGAGAATCACATAGTGAAGAAAAAGATTTACAATTATTACGTAATGAAGGAGGTTCTATAGACAACTCACACTTAGCAAGTTATAATACCACTACTTTAAGAACACTTGGTAATGCGTTTTGGGGAATATTTGGATCATTCCTTATTCTTGGTATTCTATATAAAGTAATTAAATATTTTATAAAAATATATTGAATACATAACCTCATTAATAACAAAAATATAAGTACGTCAATGAACAAATAAATTAATGTACTTCTTATTATTTTCTCTATATTTTTATTTAAAAGTTTTCCCCCCTTGGAAGGATGTTACGTAATAACGTTAAAATAATAAGATACAAAATAAAGAAAATAAGTCAAAACAATGAACATTATCCTAATGTTTCAGAATTTAATCATCGATTTATTCAGGATCAAAATGGGTACTATATAGGTTACAACTATAATTGATTCAGTTCAAACACAAAATATGAAATAATACTAATTACATCCAGCACTTATTGAATAAGAAAAAAAAGAATAATTTACATTGATGCTTATAAATAAAAATCTACAAATAATATGAAATATTAAAATGAAAAATACATATATTTATATAGTAATTTTAAAAAATATATTGAATGTAAAAATAAAATAAATATTGAGTTAAATAGATTAATTATACTTAAAACAAATAATTTTAAACAATTATATACCTTACATTATTTCATTTCATTAACTTAAGTGCTAGATAATGAACTATGTTATAACAAAATAACTTATACTATACTGATCATAATTATTATGCCAAAGAAAAAGTATAATTAAGTAACTTAGTTTAAAAAAAAAATGTTTTAGATATCAGGGATAGGTCTCAAGGTTTACATATTTAGGTTTATGCTTACGTATTTCATTATTATTTGTTCATGCTTTGAGGTTGATTATTCGATATATATATTATTTGATTTATTTACATTATTTTCATTTTTCAATAAAAGTTTTTTCTTTTAGTGTTTATTGTCATTATTTAGTATGTAATATGTAAGATTATTTATTTTATGTTATTTAATTATTTAGTTTATCGTCCACGTTATAAAATATGTTATATTATATTTATATTTAATATACATGTTCATATTTACTATTATTATTTATTTTGAAATCTTTGTACATATTTTATAGTGTATAGTATTTTGTTCGTATATATTGATTATATATATTTATAATATATCTATTAAAAATCTAGCAAAAAAGTTTTATTTTATTAATTTATGCTTATTTTTTTAAAAAATTATTTGATGTGAATTACATTAGTAATAATATTATAGATAAAACATATATATTGTGCAAAATATTAAAATTTTTTTAAATGCTTCTTATTATACTAATAATATTTATTTCATATATTGCTGTTTTTTCATGGTTGTATTAAGTATGGATCTTGGAATTAGTTTACCATATCTAATGCTGTTAATCTTTATTATATTAAAATCTTTAATTTATATTAATAATTTGAGATTACATTTAATTAATAATAGATATATTTTTATTTACTGTCTATATATTACATATAAGGAAGTACTAGATATTTTAATTTTTTTTATAAGAACGACAGAATTTGGATATTTGCTTAATTATAAAAATATATTTATTTGTAATGCACATTAAATAATAATATTATTAATAAAAAAAAAGTAAGCAATATAAAAATAAGAGTATATATTTTTATAATGTGCATAATTTTTATACTTAAATATATTATTATAAATACAAATAACTTATAATAATGTATATCCTTTTTTATAAATATATTTATTTTAATCTATAAAAAAAATGCTTATGTTTGAATAAGTATTATTCCTTTTACTTTTCATATAACTGTAAAAACTCTAATTTGTCTATACGTTTTTAGCTTATAAAAGAGGAGGATATAATATGACTAACTTTTCTACCTAAATTAATTTCTATTATACTTTTTATATATAATTCTCTGTAAGAACATTAATAATATAATAGAACTATGAAAATAAAAAAAAATTATTATTAATAATCATAAATTCTATATTTTAATATATAATTATGAATAAATGTTATAATTTTATATTTTCTCTATATGTATTCTTTTATATTTTGTTCCATTTTATTGATAATATTTATAATATGCTCATTAAAAAGGGAATTTGCGTTTAAATATACATAAAAATACATTAGGGAAATAAATATATATAAAGAATTATATCATATATGTTAACCCATTACACATTAACAAATTATATTAATTCAAATAATTTTTTTAGTTTTATTGTATAATGGTTTTTTTCATGACTTAATAAGCATATAAAAAAATTATTTTACCATAGATATAGTATATTCTAATAATAACAGTTATATATAATGAATGAAACATTTTTTTATAATGCATTCATAATTATTAATATTATAGAATAATTATCACAAGACAAATTATAGAATTACAACCGAAGATCATTTGTATCCATGCATTATTAGTTTGTTTTTTTTTCATTAATTTTAGTATATTTATTAATATAAATAAAATACAAATACATAATTTACAATGTTTCTTAAATATTGCTCATAAAGAAAAAATAAAATCAATAATAATTCATTCTATTTAATTCATGTTATTGATAACAGACTCAATGCACAACTACATGTAATTTTTATTATCTTCTTAAGCAGTATATTTCTATTTAAATTCAAATTTCATAGGATCATATGCATATATTTATAAATTAGTGTTATACGATAAAACATACATATTAAAATGATCTATTAAAATAATTCAGAATTATTGCTGTTATTAAAGTTATAAAACCTCTCTTTTATTTATTATGTATATATATATCCATATTATTTTTGCCTTGTTCTCAGTATATTATGGAATAGTATTATAAATTATAAATATATGATATAGTATTATATAATTCTTAAAATAATAAAAATATATATAAAGTTTAAATATGTAATAATATCATAACACATACATATTGTTTTACGATATATGTAATTATGTTTACTATTATAAATAAATAAAGTACTGTTAATATATTAATAAAAGTATAAATTTAAGGTTTATATGTATTGAATCAAGTTTTTATTTTTTATAATATAAATAAGTCCATGCATTTTATTATTATGAATAAATATTATATTTTTTCAAATGTACATTTATACACATACATCATACAAAAATTAAGTGTTATAAAATAATAGGTCATCAAGATGCTTTTTAAATATAATTAGATAATTAATATTATGAGAATTATAAAAATAAATACTCTTTGCCCTCAAGGATTCAATTAATTAAAATATATTTTGTTATAACATCACGTATATAAGGTTTAGGTAGATTATACATATGAATAAAATGCAACGTAAAAACAAATTTGAAGTTAATATGATGTTCATAAGAAATATTATCCATAATAATTCAATAGACATATATATTTTTATTTTAAGGCATTTTTCTTTGTTTGATATTAGAAAAATACCTCTATTCGAATAATATGTGTGTTTACTATTATTATCTATGATAGTAATACATAAATATAATATATATCTTAGAAATATTATATTAACATTTAATCTAAAGAGAAAATATATATAATTCTTTTCTATTGTATTTGAAGAAATATATTATGGTCTTAAAGTTTTTTTTTGAAATATATGTAAATATACCCAAATTTTCTAATGAAGCATATATGAACTTCTAATAAAACCATATAATTATTTCTTTATATACAATATTATAGGAAAAATATAGTGTACAGCAATGTATTTAAATATATATTATAATAACTCTTTCTCTAATAATATATATAACATATATTATTTTATTATATTTATTTAGTTTACGTAAATACAGAATTAATGTATATATTTTATAATAAAAATATAAAAATTAACATTACGTAGTATTAGTATATATTCAACAATTGTTGTATACCTATGATAAAAAAAAGAGAACACTCTATGTTTTATCACGTATTACATTGTATATTTTTGCAATAATACTTATATATTTGTAAACTCATATACATTATCGTATCGTGTGCAGATAAGACTTTTCGTATAATATATATTTTTAAGAAATATGAAAAATGTACATTTATAGTAGGTGGCACAGTAATATATATATCATTATGATTAAAATATTAATATATAAAAAGAAAACATTAAATAATTTTTATGTCATTAATATTTATATTTTTTATATATATACAGTTTTATATTACATAATAAATCATTGTGTATTTTTTTCATGCTTATTATATTAATTATATATTTTTTACATTGTATATAAAATAACATAACACATATAATTATTAGTTACCTAGAAATTGAGATTATTTCCTCTGAATAATAAACACCTCAAATATATTTTTATGTATAATATATTATAATCATATTATATAATAAAATATATATTCATCCAATATCAAAAATTGAATGTACCTATTCAGCAATTTCTATTACTCATGAAATATGATACCTTATATAAATTATTTTGCATCAATATATATATATATTTATCAATAAGTAACATAACATAATGTATTATTAATAAATATTATAAATTTATTTTCTCAGGATAAGAACAGTATTAAATAATGATTTATATGTATTCCTATTCTTAGAAAAATATCAGTACATAATACAACTATTTAAAATTATACGTAAACATTAAATGCAAAAAATATAAAAATATTAATTCAAAATATATTGTCATATTAAAAATTAAATATTAAGCAATGTTATTAATTATTAACATGTGAATAATTATTATTATATATTCCTAAGTGACGTGAATGCTTTATATAATATACATAATTATAAATTTATTTAATATAATCTGTTATAGTATGTGAATTTATAATAATATGAATTTTTATAGCGCTCATTATTATTGGATAAAATAATGAAATATATAAGGCATGTATAATATTTATTTATGCTGAAATATTTATATTAGCAGATAATTCTAATAAATTTATATATAACATCATAAATAAGCAAAAACAAAAAAGAATAATTAGGTATTTTTCATGTGATTTTGAAGTCTAAATAATAATGATCAAAATAATATTGTAATATATCATACATAACTATTATTAAAAATAAACTCAATTTAAATATATAATGTCCAAATTCATTATTAATAATACATAAATAATATAATCATACTTTACGTATCGTAAATCTCCATTAATTTCCTATAAATGATATATATAATATTTATAAGT